GTTCCATTGCTGTCTTTGCATGGTTTTAATATGCTTTTTAAAGGCTTTCTTCTTAGTAAAATAAATGTTGCGCATATCAGTATCCCAGGGTTTGTGCTGTATGGATTTAGCTAATGTTCTAAGTTCTTGTTTGAGTATATTACAGTTTCTATCAGTATACTTATATGATTTCTTCCTGAGTTTTCTTCGTTTAAAGTGTTTACTCTTGTCAAATAGACAGTCATTTGCGAGTTGCTCAATGGTATATTGGAATTTGCTGGCAATATCATCTGATGAGTGATTTGAAAAATCTGTGTAAAAAGTTGTTAACAACACTTTCACCTTTTGCAGTCTTAAGGTATAGCAAGTACAGATTTTTTGTTTCATTTGTCCACTTATAATAACTAGGAGAATTATCCAGGTGTTGATTTGGGTTGCTAGTTTTACCATGGATGGTTGGCAGTTTAAGTATGACAGATATTGCACAGTGATCTGATGCAATTGTGGGTTCATGTACTTTGAAGTTCATGACTTGGTGCTGTAGATTGGTATCAGTAATAGCATAATCAACTGTGCTAGCACCATTCCATTCATAGCAGGTAAACACACCTTGTCTATCACCTATACTTCTACCATTCAATATGATTAAACCATTAGCTTTGAGTAGTTAATTCTGTGCCAAATGCATTTTTATGTGTATCCATGTTACTGTAAAATGACTAATTTTCACTGGGTTTAAATTTCACTGATTTACCATTTCAGGCATATTCAGTGGGTTTTAAATTCACGGTTTTATCATTTAGATAATGTGTTTTATGCTAAATTTTACATATTCACTGGGTTTTAATTTAGTGCATTTTCCAGTCAGCGAAATAAGCCAAATTAAAACCCACTGAATAATTAACCATTTTACAGTATGTCGCATTTTAGTTCTAGTGTCACACTGTGTCAGGGATGGGTTCGAATTATCATTTATTTCCATTCAATATTGCTTTAGTTACATTTATTGCGTGTTACACGACTCTTCGCTTACGAGTACATTGATATTTCGTGCATCCGTGTTGGCGCCAGAGCGTTGTTACATTGTTTAAAATATCTAGTTTGTCGCGTGCTGGTCACGTGCGGCACTTTTTCTGTCTCATCTTAGTAAGCAGTGTATCTTGACGTGTACGTTTCACCGCTGAATAAAGATCTACTGTCAATAGATCTGCTTCCTATCTATTTCGGGAAACCATCAAGTGTTTTGTGGGACACACTCAAACTTATATATTTTCTCAACCACACACTGGTAATTAACTGGTGCAAAGTTGAAGTTATTCTCATCATCTTCAATTATATCCAGTAAGTCTGCTGTTCGGGCATTGAAGTCGCCTTGTAGAATAATGTCCCCTTTTTCTTTGTACATGGTGATTTCTTGTTGAAGAACGTTGAAAGGATCTTCACTGATCCTATTGTAATACGACAAATTTGCAGGAGGAATGTAAACTGTGCATAAAAAGATGTCTTTCTTTAATTTGAAGTAGTCTTTTTTTAATCTACACCACAGAGTGTAAACACTAGACTGTTCTTGTATTGTAACACCAGGTTTAAGTGTTTTCCTAATGTATAAACTAATTCCACCAGAACTTCTACATGCCTTTTCAGATTTGTTCCTAATTTTATGGAACGCAAAGTGATCTTCAGGTGTTGGCAGTAAGTCAGTGGAGTTAGCATCTAACCAGGTTTCAGTGAAAGCATAGATATGGTAGTTCTTAATGGTTTGTTGAATGTTTAATAAACCTTTGGTATTTTGATCATGACTGCAAGGATTTGGTATATAGTTGTAATGTAGTCCCTCTGAGTTAAGATGACCAATGTTAAGCAATTGGTACATGTTTATTTAAAGTACTTTTAAAAAAATTATTAATATGATAATAATAAAATGATTAAAATCATGGTACATGTGTACAACCAACAACTGAGTCCATTTCAAAATAGATTCAGACAAAATAAAAGATTTTAATTCAAGCTCTAGCTAAATCAAAGTACCATAGAAACAACTCCCATATGGAAAGGGTATAGAAGGCATGGAGTACAAATAATAAATATTTAAAATAAATTACAGGTAGTCTCTTAAACCAGATACCTGTGAAAGCAATCTCATCCATAGGATTAAGCATCTATGTATAAGTTTCATTGAAATGTGATGATTAGTTCTTGAGATATGAATAGAAAAGTTGAAATTCAACAAATTATTATGCAAATTAGGAAATTAAAAGGTACAGATTTCAATCCAATTTCAATCAGGTCTGTTTATTGTCCACAGGCATATATGTAAACATTTTTTAAATATCTGGGGAGAGTTTCTTGAGATATCAATAAAAATAGTCAACATTGGCTTAGTTATTATGCAAATCAGGTAATTATTATGTATGAATTTCAACCGAATATTAAGGGAACAAATATACATACAGGATAATCCTAAAGAAAGTCAACCGAATAGATATCCCCATAGAGGCAGACAAGGGGGAAATGAAAGAACACATATTTTCATGCAAGTACGGTATATAAGGCATGCTTAAAATAAAAAAGAAATTCACCCACTAACTTTTGAATTCAACTTTCCTGTGATGACAGCATCAGGAAGTACATCTGTTTGACGAAAATCAAATGAAAGAAGAGATATGGTTAGGCTGATAAACATTGTATTAAAAAAAGTGTACAAAGACCTGACAAGCAAATTAAAGCTAAATGATGGTGAAAATGAAAGTATGATTTAAAAATATATTCTAAAATGAGTGTTAATTAGGACAACAATAAAGTTGAAATACAAAAAGCTTTAATTTTTTAGAAAGTTATCCACATATTGAGCAAGTTACACCAGGTTTAAGATTAGAACAGAACAAAAATGTGCCTCTCTCCAAAAATTCTGACCACAAGGGAAAAATATCTCACTATCTGTAACATACATTGTTCTGTCTGAATGACACTGACATTTTTTACAAAGACTTATCAAAAATATAAAATATAAAATTTATCCTAAGATTTTAATTTTGAACATCTAACAACTAATATAACAAATATGCTAATATAGTACATTGTTTTTTAGGACAGCTACTTACCGGTATAAGGTGTTGGCAATATTTTATGACTACAAAATTAAAATCTACAGTAGTTATTCATTCCAGTATTAATAAACAGCATATGAATGTTTTTTGATCAATTTCAGTCTGTTTTTTAGAAAAGTGTCAACCATCAGTGGTTTCCATAGACACCAATAAAAACACATTTGCAAATTTTCTAATACTTCTACACATGAACATATCTTTTTTTCCTCCACATGTTTCCATGATGCAGTTCAATTTTTTAAAGCAATGTAATAATTTTCTGTATCTGCATAATGTGTAATAACAATCCCTGTAATCTTATTGGTCAATGCAAGCATGCTGGGTAATAACAATCTCTGTAATCTAATTCGTCAATGCAAGCATATTGTGTAATAACAATCTCTGTAATCTTATTGGTCAATGCAAGCATGCTGGGTAATAACAATCTCTGTAATCTAATTCGTCAATGCAAGCATATTGTGTAATAACAATCTCTGTAATCTTATTGGTCAATGCAAGCATGCTGGGTAATAACAATCTCTGTAATCTAATTCGTCAATGCAAGCATATTGTGTAATAACAATCTCTGTAATCTGATTGGTCAATGCAAGCAGATTGACATTTTGACATCAGGATGGTCTACCACAAAATGAACTATATGTCCAAAAAGTGGGGGTGATTTTTATCTAGATACGAGTGACTCCATCATCTGTCTGAATGACTAGCCTGGTTTATGACTATAAGGCTAAATAAAATAAATTTTATGCTTCCGGTAATCCTACCTGTCCATAAATTTCTATGCAAATCAATAATGGTAATTTCACCATTGTTATAATTTTATTTTTCTTTCAGGCTGCCTGCCTGCCCCAAATATGTTAAAAGCAGGTTTTTGATCATTATATTTGACAAAATTGTCAACAAAAGATAAAACTGACAAACATATAAAATGCTGTCTTTTAATATTGGCCTGTCTTCCATTTGTTTGGAATCGTAAATATCACAAAAAATCAACAGGGATTTTACAGTGACGATTAGTTTCAATTTTCAGAGTGGTTGTTGATCCTAAATTTTGTTAGGCCTTCACATAGTGTTGAGTTATTAATATGTATAAGGTAATTTGATGCTAATTCTAAATTCTCTGTGTGTTCTGAGTTAATTTTAGCATTATTTGGCCCGTTAATATCTTTTAATTCTTTTGCTATTGTACCCTGAATCATCGTTCCAATTTATTATAAATAATATTTGTACTTGATGTTTTTGTTGTGGTTGTATATATCTTACTGTAGCTACACGCTAGATATTCATTTTCAAGCAGTGGTGACAATGTCACAAAGGGTCAAAGTTGACAGGCCATATATACTGACCGTTGTGAAATTATATTCAAACAGTATTTCTATGCAAAGGCATTGTGATTGTTTCAAATTGTTTAGTTGTTTTTTTAAATTTATAAAAGGCTTACCCCCCCCCCCCCCCCCGTGTAGAATGTTCTATGTAAAAAGAACGTTCATGCCATTCTGTAATAATTTGTAAAACATTACAGCAAACACATAAAAACACATTTGACAACATGACGTCATTCCGACCCCTAACCTGACGCCAACCATTCCAGTCCACCAATGTTTTTATTTGTACACATATATGCCCTCTAGATAACTACATGCGTCTTGAAGATTAAACTTACATGATTAAAATGGCGGAGGTGTACTATGCGGATATGTGTGAGGGGGTCCTAGAGAACTCATACCATAGCATCATATCAAACTATTGAGTAATCAATTCAGCTACACAAAACAAAGATTGTGTTTCTTATTTTGAGCGGAGAGGGGGGGGGGGTAAGAATATCAACTTTACTGTTATTTTTTATTGTTATGAATGGATGCCGATAATTTATTATTTTGTTTTTCTTTATCGGCTGTCGTTCCAGTAAAAATAGTTTTCATATGACGACATATGGTCATTAAACCAAATACTGGTAGTCCCCCAATCCATGTTCACCAGTGAGTCACCCACGGCAATGGAGTCATTTCTCAAATAGGCAATGAATGATCAAACAATAACGTGATTTTTGGCAAATTACGTAATCAGTGGAGTTATGTAAGACTAACTGAAACATAATGTTACCTCATGTTCTGGTATAAGGTGCCAATTCTCGTCTGATTTCTTAGATCGCGCCATTCACCGATTAGTATATTAGAACAGCCATGTTGTCAGCTTCCGCATTTCCTGACTCATAATGACCGGCAGAGGGCGGTCTTGCAATGGGTTATTTCTACATTCACGAAACCACAGTCCCTGTGACAAAACTAACAACGTCTGGGACTCAAACGGTAAGCCCAGTCAGAATAGAAATACGAAATTGGCATAAGAAAAAAATAAACTTAAAAAATAAACAATGAGTCGTCAAATTAACCAATGAACAGCAGAATTATGTGCATCACTTTATAAACACAGATTTCTTTTATTCACATATTTAATTTAAAGGACGGTGGTCGTTGCGCTGCGACCTGGTCGACATGGGACTCTTAGCGACGTATAGAAAGCGTGTAAAATACATTGTTCAGATGAAAGTCGAACACGCACTATAGTGATTGGCTCAAAAGTTTGTTACGCCTATGATGCGCACGCTTACGGAATAAAGAATGTTGAACTAACTCAGCAGGCCCGTAGTTTGGGGAGCTTCGGGGGGTTCGGTCGAACCCCCTAAATTTTGGAAGTGAATAGATTTATTAACGTAGATTAGAACATAATAAACAAACAGTATTATTTAAAATAATTATCATCGTTTAAATCACTTGACTCATTGAGGTAACTATCAGATTCAGCAGCTGATGTTAAATATTAAAACAATATTGAAAAAATAATGTAATGGTAGTCATTCTCTGAATGATGTGGTGGTCCTGAATAGGGCCGTTTGTCTTGTGCGAGTGTTCGCCCAGTTAGTAAAGTGTTGAACGGGATTGACACAACACGACACTGTACTTTCCTAGTTTGGTTCATTAGTTTTGTATTTTTAAATGATGGCATATATACTTTTTGTGTGTCAGCCAAATGTAGTCAACTTATTGTATTAGTACGTGTAGCCTGTGTTATTGGAAATCAGTGTATAGCTACGGATTTAACAGATCATTAAAAAAATGCCGAAGATTTATCATCACGAGTTGTATAGGTCGAAGAGCTTCTTGCA